ATCTTGGATGTGCCCCGGGGCACTTATCCATCCAATTTATTCATTCCATGGATGATGGATCCAAACTTACCTCTTCACGAGATTCCGTCTGAATTTTGTGGAAGTTTAACTCGTTTGTGCTAAGGTCGGAGATTTGATTTATTTATTTATTTTTATCAAATTATCTTCACGGGATTACAAAGGATTGAGTGAAAAGAAGAGAAAATTTCTCTTTAAAATTTATTTTTATTTGATTAATTTTGGCTTTCATTAAGAGCAAACTAATAGTAGTACTTCCCTTTAAAATTGTTGGTCATGTACACAATTCATGATTTCGAAATGTATTTCATGATGTAATCCATATGTGAGGATTCTGTGTTACAAATTTAAAAGATTGAAGACTCGAAGAATTTGAGCTAACACTAAGAAAGTGGTAATGTAGTTATTGAATTATTTACACTGAATTAATACATAAAGGGTGTTTGTGCCATATTATTTTGGAAGAATGTATTTGATGGAAAATGTGTGGTTAAAAAAGAAGGAAAAATTATTGATGTGATAGAAAATATTATTTTATTGAAAAATGTATTGTTGAAAATGAGTAGAAGAATGAAAATGAAAATTTTAATGTGACTCAAACATGAGCAAAATATGTATGGGCTTGTCCTGACTAGAGTTCAGATTTGTTCCATATCTCCGCTCTTAAGCACAACATGATTTTGAGTAGGGTGCACCTTGATTTTGCATGGTGTGACAAAATATATATTTATTTTAACTATAGTTTTACATCTAAAATTATAATTGATCGAACTCACAAGGATGACAAATCTTTATGGAAAATGATGAAAGAACAGGGTCAAATCCAGGAAAAAAAAAAGGTTGTTTTGTCAGAATTTGACTGGGTGATTTTTGTTTTTATTTTTCAAACTGACCAATCATGTATGAACATGTGTATTCCTTGGATTTGAACATGTATTTAACTATGGATGTGTAGCATTGTGGAATCTTTATATTAGATCCCAATATATATATATAGGAACCATGCTAGGTGTACAATCAT